ACCGAGAATCGAACCCTGGGGCACGCCTGACGTCACATTTGTCCAATCAGAAATATAGCCGTTTACTACTACTGATTGTTTCCGACCACAGAGGTAGGCCACAAACCATCGGAGCAGATTCCCCTTAATACCGTTAAAGTACAGCTTTTGCAGTAGCAGCAAATGGTCAACTTTATCGAAAGCTTTTTTAAAGTCAGTATAGATGGTTTCAATCTGCTTTTTGCGATCTAAATTGTAAAATAAATAATTGCTGAAAACAAGAAGATTTGAAAGAGTTGATCTATTTTTAACAAAACCATGTTGCTGTTCAAGAATTTTTTGTTTCAAAGCCGAGTATACATGATGGTGTACTAATTTTTCGAAGACTTTCGGTATAGAGGATAAGATCGAAATCGGACGATAATTACTAACATTATTTTTTCGACCAGACTTAAAAATAGGAGTAATAAAAGCTAATTTCCAGCACGACGGGAATGTGCCAGTTGTTAAACATTTATTAAAGATAATATAAAGCGGAAGACATAGACTACTAAATGTTTTTTTAAGGAAGAATGGGCCAATCTTGTCAGGGCCTGGGCCCTTGTTTGGATCAAGTTTTTTAAGCGCAAGTGCAATATCATCTTCCGATAGACTTATTTCACTTAAAGAGATATGCGAAGCGTCTTCGCAGCTATTTGCGGTAATGTCTGAGATATTGTATGCATTACGAGAAACCGATACTAAAGCAGAGTTAAAGAATTGAGAAAACATTTCAGCAATTACAGTTGGATTGTCCGATGTACAGTTACCGTATATCATACAATGTGGATAACCAGAATTGGATTGTTTTAAATCAGAGGTGTATTTCCAAAAATGCTTAATATTCGACTTAAGACTTTTTTCTATTGACTCGATGTAGCGATTATAGCATAAAGTTAAGAGAGATTTTACACGAGTACGTAGCAAAGAAAATTCTTGATAATCGCGTGCACTTCCATATGTTTTCCAACGCGACCAGCACTTTGATTTACGCCTTAATGAACGAATTAGACCTTGTGAAAACCAGGTTGGAAAATGCTTACTTTTAATTTTATAATATGGTACATATGTATCAATAATATTGTAAATTTTATGATAAAAAACATCAGTTGCTGAGTCCGCTGGAAGATGAGAAAGAAGATAATGCCAATCAGTATCTTTTATTGAAGTGTTAATAAGATCATAATCACCTTTGAAGAAGTTCCACTTATAATTTGACGCATGAGGTAACATACGTGAACCTTTAACCGTGCATACTAATTCAAGGGGAGGATGATGTGGTACAGGGTTTAGAAGTGGGTCACACGAAGATGTCACCGATGCCGGAAGTGTCGTCAGTATCAGATCAAGTAGTTTATTATTTTCGTTAAAAACACAATTTATCTGATTTAAATTTAAAAAAGAAAGCGCGTATAATAATTGCTTTGACTGTTCAGTGGTAGCTGACTCGAGTAACTTTTCGGACCCTTCAGACCAAATCAGGTAAGGTAAATTAAAATCGCCAACAAATAAATAATTTAGGTAACGGGCACTAGAGTGTATTTGGTAAAGATTATTAAAATATGTATCATAAAGAGATCGAGGAGATGAAGGAGAAATGTAACATGCGTTTAACAAAAGTGAAGAGTAAGCCGGAAGGTATAGGTATATTTCCTCAACAACTCGCATCTCAAGCTCCGGCATTCTAATTGCTCTGATAGATTTTTTTATAAAGACCAAGAGACCCCCACCTCCCCTTTTGCCAAATAAGAGTAAATCACGATCACGACGGAACATCAGGTAATTATCTGTCTGAAGCTCAGAATCAAGGATAGAAGCGTTAAGCCACGTTTCGACTAAAATTACGACATCATAGCTACATGTAATCAGGTTAAGTTTTAATTCATTTAATTTACTTTTTAAACCTCCACAATTATGGTAGAAAATGGATAAATTGTTTTGACTATCCATACTTATGTCTAATAAAAGCAAAACGAGGTAATTTGATAAAAAATAGTAGGTAAATTATTAACGATACAATTAGAAAAATATATAATACATTGCACAACATGTACAAGACAAGACGTTGACTTACTATCGCGCTCAAAAGCTCCGCAACACAAAAAAATATCAAAATAATAATAAAGAGTATTATAGTAACAATTAAACTTAAAATTACGACAACATTTAGTCACAGTATTTTACATAGGTCGTCCTCACAACGTATTTGTAACACCTTGGATTCATCTGTCTTACGCAATAAGATACATCCATTTTTAATCCACGAATATTTATAAGACTTTTCTTTAGCTAAGTGGCGGGCTTTGGAATATAAAATTTTATTTTTAAGTGTGAGGTGCTCATTTATATAGAAACGGGTATTATGGGCGATGTTATTATTTATTGATGAGTGGGGTTGTCCGAAGAGCTGGTCAATGGTGAGGGAGCGCCTAGCGCGCGCTGCGGCAATTACGTCATCGCGCAATCTCTTGGACGACAGCTGTACAATTATGTTTTTAGGACGCTGTGAGGAGGATGCGGGGGCTACACGATGCACGTTCCTAATATCGCTCGATGAAAGCTCAAGTCCTAGAACTTTGCCAACATTCAAGAATATTTGAATGAGATTTTCTCCTTTAGACTGAGGAATGTTCTGCATTTCTATGTTACAACTGCGAGACGACTGATCTAGGTCATTGAACTTATCAGTTAAGGCATTTAGCTCGTTACGAAGGGCGACGTTTTGTTGCAAAAGCGTGTCATCGGACGTGGTGTTGGTTTGTGCCGTCTCAACTCGATCAAGACGCTGCTCCCAGGTGTCCATACGTAACGATAGTTTGTCGAGGTCCACTTTGAACGATTTCGTAACGTCGCTAATCGCAGCCTGTACATCTTCACGCCATTGTAATCGCAAACTGTCAAGCTTCGAGTCTAAATACTTCGTAAGCGCATCGGTGTCAACATTTAAAACCGAGGACGGGGGCGTGTTGCGGCCTGGCGACGTAGACGCCAAAGTGTTGGGGGATTGCTTCTTAGGCTTACAAGTCGGGCACTTCCACTTCATTTTATTCATAGGCAATATTTTTCGGAAATCACTTTCACTCAACCCTACGCAATAATAATGCATATGCGCGCTACAGCCCGTGCATTTGATGCCATCTTTATCAGGAATAGCCTTTATACACTTATTGCAATCCATTTCAGCGATTGATAACAAGACGGTCGTTTCACAATAAAAAGACGGTCGCTTAACGAGGTTGATCCGAAGTTGCCGGCAAAAAGGACATAAGCGCCGGGGAATACACGTCGCTTACGCGTTTAGTTCGTACGCTATAACACAGCACTAATCTCTCGATAAATTCGTAGTTATTTCACGTAATTTTAAGTGCGAGAGCTTAATTATATAAGATTCAGTAATTCACAGTTCCTACACGCACTATTAACACTAAATCATTAACTTTAACCACACTTTTAGGGATTATTTATTTACGCTAAGTACTGGAGGTACACTGCTTCGCGCGCAAAAGCCGGTAGCGAAATAAAAAATTATTGAATTAAATTAAAATATTAATTGAATGATCTAAAAAAGTCCGCGACGCTATATGTTTATTTTTTAAGATTAACTTGCAAGAACGACGGGACCCAAACGACGGCGACGAGGCGCGACCGATGTCGGGCAGCTTACATTTTGGCAGAGCTTTGCAAAAACAAATTTGGATGCCCAAAATAACTATTCTACGCGGACGAAGTCGCTGGCACAGCTAGTAATATATAAAGATGAGAAGGAGGTTTGCAAAAACAAATCTTGACGTCTGAAATAACTATTCTACGGACGAAGTTGCTGGCACAGCTAGCTTCTAATATTTATAAAGTGAATGTGCGAATGTTCAAAATGTGAATGTTAGGAACGCTTTGTAATTGTTAACTTGGTACAGACAGCTCCTGTTTTAGTTTTAACATCGGTTTCGCAGTCAGCCAACCGTACAGCGCGGCCCTATCGGTCGGTGAAAAGTTTTAACGAGTTTTTTAGTGGACTGCTCCGCGTAAATAGGGGTTTTACTATCCAGCTTCAGTTAATTTTATTAGCGATGCTCCAATGCGTTTCTTGAAAGACGGTGATTGGTTTACGGCAGAATTAGGAACTAATTGGTGGACTTTTTTATTCCCTCTTTTTTATTCCCATCGTTTTCTTTACAATTAATATAGTAGTTTTTGAAGTAGTATACTTTTCATGAAATGCTTTGCACCAGCCGTGGTCACGGGGAAACGTCGAAAGTTAAAAATCATTTTCAAATAAGTTTCACTAATATATCGCGTTTTAAACCGTTAAAGTGTTTTATTTAAATGTGTACTACTCGCGTAAACTATAGACAGTATTTGCTTAATCAATGTTTGTTGAGGTTGCCTAGGTGCAGTATAAGTTAGTGAAATCCCGTTTCCCCCTGTGGGACATGGGGCGATTACATTACTGTGTCCGTTTCACTGATGGGTTTTATTTACAGGCAAGTAGTTGATTAGACGTCTGTACTGAGACCAAAATTATTTATTGATACCGAGGGATTCGAACCCAGGACCTCTCGCACTTACTGCAATGTTAGGGAACACGTTTAACCATACTAATATTATATAGCTGAAGAGTTTGTATGTTGGAAAAATTCTTTACGAATTGAAAAAAAAAATCTCATGCTACGAACCAGAGGAACACAGAAACATTGAGAAATTTTGGGACAAACGCGGAGAATTATTCATCTTTAGGAAGTACCGTCGCGTGCGCTGCGAGAACACCCAATTAAATGTGTGAAAAAATATATTCTCTTTAAATGATCTAAACAAAATTCCGTGACGATATATGACTCTTCTTTAAAGATTAACTTGTAAGAACGACGGGAAAACATATTTTCATGACGAAATTATTATTGCACGCGGACGAAGTCGCTGGCACAGCTAGTACACACCGTAATATTAAATAAAGGCTTTTTATTTATTGCATTTAATTTTTACAGGCGCGAGGTTACCTGGAGTCGTTGCCGTACAAGCCCCGTGTACCGTGGGTCCAGCTGTTCCCCAACGCGGAGCCCCGTGCCCTCGACCTGTTGGACAAAATGCTCACCTTCAACCCGCACAAGCGTATTACCGTGGAAGATGCGCTTGCGCACCCCTACCTGGAACAATACTACGATCCACACGATGAGGTATTTTTTTTTCAGCTGGACCTATTTTAAATTATATATGGTATATAAGTACGAGTAGTAACGCGTTTTTTTTTTCCTTTTTTAATGACGGAGAAGTGCAGACTGTTGTTCACGTGATTCGGTTCAGTCTATCTACTGACTGAAGCCGAAACGCAGTTTTAGACACAGCCTAATTTTGAAATTGTAGCAGATTTTAATGTGAAGATCATAGTATTTTTTAATTTATATAATCTGTAGTTTACAATTTTAAATAAAACACTTTGAACGGTTTATAACGCGAAATGTATTACGTAACGTATTTAAATTTATTTTAAATAGTTTGACAAATTTATTATAAAAATACGAAAAAATATTGAAGAAAGAAAAAAATATTGTCACTTTTTGTCAGCTATCGGTGGTATTTACAGATTTGATCAGAGCCATGTCAAGGTGAGATGTGATGTGTTATCGATTATTTTATTTAAAGACCGTGTTTTGAGAACTCTTCAAAAATCTTAGTCGTGAAAGATTGAAGAGATAATAATAAATCGACCCCGAACAGTTATACAATGGGGACATGAAATAGTATGACTGTATGTGCGTGTGTTTGGCTTTAGCCTACAAAGCACGCAAGTTATCTAGTCATTCTCCATAAAGTTATAGCTTCGACATTAACTAGCTTAACAGTTTTAAACGCGAAGTGTATTAGTTATTTTTTAACATTACGTCTCGTTTCGGGGCTGGCTTAATTCGTAGTGTGCCTTTTTGAATATTGACAATGAATTTTATATTAATCTATCAGTTTTAAATAAGTTTTGATTTCTTTAAACAAACAAACATAAAAAAAACGCAGAAGAGATAGAAAGAACTTAGAACTTTTTTTGGTCCATTAAAAACCTTTTTTCTTTCTTTCTTCTTTTCGTTCATTAAAAACCTTAATCTGTGCTTTTGTAGGTAATATTTCGCGAAATTGTACTTAATATTCACTCAAATGTTTGAGTATAAAAGGAAAGTTCTACGCAAGTACGTAACGTTACTACGTAAGTCCCTAGACGAAAGCTTAAGTTCGTTAAAACACATAAAGTCCTTTGATAAGAAGTTATTTGGAATCGAGTGAATATTTGCCAATATTGACAAAATGCAGACATTTGACTTGTCTTCAGTGAAAATTTTGTTAATAGATAATAATTACTAGAAATCGTAAATTGTAAATAGATTTATAATTTAAAAATATTTTTAAAATCTTTGTTTAATAATACGGGCAAGCCATGATCTTACGTTTTACGTTGTTCCGACGATGTTCATCGAATTATCTCAATCCCTTTATCACACGGATTTCTCACCTGTGGCCGTTCAAATTCTAATTTAAATAATATATTCCACATGAAAAATTTTAGACAAAAGAAAATATTACAGCCAAAAAATTGATTATTAATAATGAAAATCAAGAAAAAAAAATACTTTTCCCGTGGTGCTACATTTCTCAAATGTTGTTGCAACAAGAAGCCGATTGTCTGATTGATTGATCGTGACTAGAGTGAAATTTTAATGTGATCTGAAGACCAGATTTTTCAGACAGTGGGTCTTGGTGCTCAGAAAGTACTACTGAAGAGGAAAGTACACTTTGAAACTCAACAGGAATTGATCTGATTATTATTATGGGCAAGTACTAACATTTAAAGCCGGCTACGCATATTCAAGACCTCTGTTGCAGATGTCCATGAGTGGGTGAACTTACTTTTCATCAGGTTGCCCCCTATGGCTTCAAAAGCTATTCGAGCTCATCAATTTGAATATAACGGTCTATCTAATTTGACGTCATGTAAAAACATTTTTCCTACTAAATGTGTTGCACAATGCGAATGACATCTAATATTAAAATTAAAATTTTGCTCTCGCCTGAAATCCAATTACAATCTCAGTGATTATCAGCTATTTTCAATTCACACGGCGGATGCGTCCCACTTAACATTCTTAAAGTGGTTTATTATTAAAATAATACATTTTACGGTTTAAAACGCGATATGTATTAGTTAAACTTATTCAAAAATTATTTTAAATACGGCCCGACGTTTCGGTTGCTTTGCAGCAGCCTTGGTCACGGGGATACTACAGACAGTGGTTTAATATTATTTACGTGAATAAATAGATAGATTTTCTTCATAGCTAGTAAAACATAAATCCGGGCATTGCGTTAAGCACTGAAAAATCCTGAGAAATGATATATTGTTTCGGTCAGGCGGGGAGCCGGTGTTTGATTATCTACTTGCGTTTAATAAAAACCGGTTTAAAATGCGAAATATGTTAGTTAACTTAACTTCAATTGAAATACCGTACTTACGCGAGTAGTGCGCATTGAAATAAAACACTTTTAACGGTTTCATTATAGTGTTTGATTGTAGCTATGTATGTCCAATAATAATGATCAATGGATCGTGGATTCGAACCCTAACGAGTTCAACATCTAGACAATTTATCATGTTTATGAGACATGTTGGACTTCGTCTGGAAATCTAGATATTAAACGGGCAGTAGAAATATCTAAAATGCTTCTAGGTCACAAATCATCGTCTATAGATGAAAAAGACGTGAAGTTTAGTCTGTGGATTTCGGAATATCCAAAGCCGAAATAGGTCGATAGCGCTTCTTATTGAGATGTTATATGGCTGGATACTTTACCGTTCATTAAGTGAACCACAAGTTTATCTGTCCTCCTCTTTCGTAGAAAAAAATAGTTTATTTCTGATTTTATTTGTATTTCTTAATTGGCGCCAGAATGAGCGAACGAAAGTTAAACAGACCCATGGGAGTACGGAACAGCTCAACCGGGGATAAGTAATCAAAAGTTGAAGTGACGTTGAGTTTTTCAAAGAGCCCCCTTTTACGTAATAAAAGTTTTTCTTTCGGGAAACAATCGTCCGTGGATTCCGAATGTTGATTTCCCATGTCTTGTTCTCTTTATATCGTGTTTCTATCCAGTAACGATCGATGCCAATATCGTAAAAAGATAAAAATATTTAAATAAAACGCGATATATTCATTAAACTTATTTGATAATGATATTTAACTTCCCCCGTGACCACGGCTGCTGCAAAGCATCCGAAACGTCGGGCCGAAGTTAAAAATCATTTTCAAATAAGTTTAAGGAATGTATCGCGTTTTAAACCGTTAAAGTGTTTTATTTAAAAGTATAATAATTAAAATTAGAACTTCTAGAATCTCTGATAATATCATCCTCTTTTTTATAAAGGAAAAAGTAACAAGTGAAAGTTGAATAATATTTATATCAAACGTTTTCTTTACAATTATTTCAAATGGGAAAATATTGTAACAAAGTGGAATCCTATTAAATTATCGTAAGTATTCAGGTAACTTTGGCCCTCAAGTTCAGGCTTGTTGCGAGCACAGAATACTGAACGAACCAGTAACGACCTATGTACTAGCTCGAAAACACATATGTATGTAATACTAGCTGTACGTGTAACCTCGTCCGCGGAATTATTACACATAGTACAGTAGGCCGCGGTTATTTTAGTCATCAAAAATTAATATACAAGGTTATTCCTACTTCATGCGAAACCTGAAAGTAGTTTGTTCAGAATCAGTAGCAGAATCCATTCCAATAGTTTTTATACCATGTTTTTGAAATTTTTGAAATCTTGGACACCGTTTGATAAATAAATACCTACATAAGTATAACTAAATAGGTCTAAAAATTCGGGGAATCCGCGGCGGTGGCTCGTCGCTGTGTTAGTACAAAGATTATCGTGTTCAAACAAACAAATACTTCAGCTTTTTTATATTAGTATAGATTCATTATATACATTTTTTTCTCATCTAGCTTGTCTATCATTCTGTAATTGTTAACTATTTACACCAAAAGTATAAGTGGTTGTGAAAAGTGTTCTAAGCATGTATTGGCATATGTCATCGAACAGTCCTTCTGGTTCGTTAAGTATTCTGTGGCTGCGACCTCATTTCCCCCTCAGGCTATTACGAGATGAAACGCTACAAGCGCAAAGGGCAGAACCCGGAGTTTTCTCTTACATTTCGTTGAATACGATCGCGGATTACCAGCCAAGATAGACGTGTCGTGTTGCGCTTAAGCCTTGACAGATGTATTGGAGAAAGTGATACTTTTGACGGCCCTCTACACCTTTTTTATATTCATGTTTTCCCCGATAGAGTTTGTGTGACAGCTTTTAGAGTTATGGCGTCAATGTCATGTTATTTTCGTCATATCGTTATTTTGTCATTTTCAAGATAGAAGAGTATAGACAAGTATGGGAATCACTTGATGAGAGGTGAAATACGACCTTTTTTGGCTTTGGATATGCGAAAAAATAATTTAGATTTAGACAAAAATGACACGGGCAGGGATTGAACCGGCATCCACAGGGCTCCGTGCTGCTGGCCTAACCGATTGAGCTACAGTCACAGCACGGAACGCTGACGATGCCGGTTCAAGTCCCGCTCGACTCGAAATTTTTTTAAATTTATTTTCGATTTTTATCCATATTAAAATAAAAAAAACTTCCAATGCTTTAAACGAAAAATATAGAAGTAAGTTCAGTCAACTTATTTTTAATTTATGCCGTGGTCATGGGGTTGCTGCTGCATTCAAATCTTGTGCGGCAGTCAAATTAAAATAAATTAACTTTAATATTTCGCGTTTTAAACCGATCAAATTATTCGTTGTAATAATTCGTGCATTGGACCCGGGAAATAACTCAGTGGGCAACCTCACGTCAAATGTCGCCCGTCGCCAGACTGACAAGCAGTATCCCGTTTTACGCGTGACGTGGCAATATTTTAAGGTCACAACACACGCCCTTAATATTAATCTTAGCCTGAAGAAGGCATTTTAAATGAAATTGCAGTCGAAAAGTATCCGGCCTACTTGGCGAGTTGATAAGAAGTATTATAGCTGTTAAGTTTCATCGAAATCTGTTAAGTCGTTTCTGGCAGTCTTAGTCGTTTAGCCTTAACAGACAGTACATAATTCTTCTAAATAATCTTGTTAACCCATCGGAACCCTTTATCATGGTATAATATTTTCAAGATATGTAATTTACTTATGTAAATAAAACACTTTTAACGGTTTTGAAATGCAAAATATATTGCGTAGTCGTCCACGACCGCGATAAAGTGTTTTATATTATGTTTTTATAGGTAACGCTGTTTGTGTTGAAGAAATTTACTCGCATGCTTCCTTTAACATTCTCCTGATAATATAGGTTCTGAAATCCTAGTTTTATATGTAGACAAAAAAGTATGAAGCATTAAAATCTTTTTTATATTATACAAATGATGGCATAGATAAACTTAAATTAAATTAAGATTGAAAAAAATAATACGATACGATTTGGACTTCAACCGACATTCAGAGCATTATATGTTAAAAATAAGTTCTATGAATTTTCCTTTATCGAGGAAAGTCGTCGTCATCACAAAAATACTTTTTGAATACGAACCTTTCCGCTATACGCTTCCGTTAGTCACAGCGCGGCGTTCTTATGTAGCCTTCCACGATAAATGCTCTAAACAAGACAAAAATAATTTTTCAATTCTAACTAGTAGTTTCCGAGATTAGCGTGTTCAAACAAACTCGTCAGCTTTATATATTAGTAAAGATTCTAGGCCTATCACAAATGTTTGTTTTAAACGAGTAGAATACAGATTCTAATTAAATATCTTTACGCTTTTACATATTTTGTAGGCAAGTTAAGTGTACTCTTATTGAAAATAAAAACTTCAATTGTGTTTAATATTGTCGACCTTTCAGTCGCTTTTGGGTTATACACAGTGCTTGAATCACGTGACCTGGACGGAAATTCAATATTTCTACCGCACCGTGCTAACCTATTTTCCATATATTCCATAGCATTATTAAAACTCCAATTACACTAATAAGTAACAACGGTACGTAGTGTCATGTGAACAGAATAAACCCATTAAGGGATTATGCATGTACGCTTAATTAATTGGAAATTACGACTTGCTGTACTCATAACATAATTTAATTTGCCGACTCAAGGCAATAATGTGCCAGTTCTATTAGTTCGCTGTAAATAACTGTTACCACTCAGACGATTAAAATATTCAGACTATTCGTTCGTTACGTTTTCCCAACGTGGGGCATAGTTATGTTTCTGTATTCACTGATAAATTCTATTTTCAGGAAAATAGTTGATTAGTTTCATGTACTCTTCAATCAAAACTAGTAATAAGTATCCCGGAGTGAACTCAGTTTATACATTATTAGACCTTAGGTTCAGTTATTCGATACAGCCAAATACTTGGCGACCTATTCTCGTACGAAATGTAAGAGGTACAGTGAACTATAGGTTATAATAATTTTCCAATAGTGTCATTAACAACTATGAACATCATTAAAACTAAAATTATATGATTTAATATGTGTTTACCAATAAAGTATATGTAGGTTTGTTCGCCAATAATTGCAAATGTTTGCATGAGCGCTGTCTTAAAGACGAACAGTAGGGTTTTGAAAATCAGTGTTCTATCATCATGACTGTGCTGCAACATATACAAGCAAGCAGCAAGACCCTTTTGGAATCACTTTTCTTAAAATTCAATTTAATCTTTTTTTTTTTAATTATTTTATTGTAATCACATTTATTTTGTTGATAACAATGTAATAAATGAATGCCAAATGAAGATATTTATTATTATCAGCCGTGGTCACGGGGAGACCTCTCAGTCGCAGTCTCCCCACGGCTGCTGCAAAGCATCCGAAACGTCGGGCCGAAGTTAAAAATCAGTTTAACTAATATATCCCGTTTTAAACCGTTAAAGTGTTTTATTTAAACTAAATACAAGTTACGTTACATATACGTTCAAAATATATCGTAATAGCTTTTAGGAAACTCATTGTACTATAAATTATTTTTGCACCCAAGTAATGACATTGTAATAGTAGTAAATTTATGTGGGCTAAACACACGGTTCTACGTGGTTCAAAATGACACAGTTACCTCATTAAATAACGTTAACCCGGGTCGGTATTATAGAAAGTTGTTGAGATTAGCTACAAACCCTTCCGTTTCGTTTTACATGTAGTAAAAAATATAAGTTAGACACCCTTACCTTAGCCAAACTTCTCTAAGTTGACTTCAGAGTTTGGGCCAATAGAAACTATATACAGTGTAAACTTCATAACTCCATTATAACATCACACCCACTCTCAGTAAAGATAACACGTTAATAATACAAAGTACCTTTTAAATTGCTAAAAAACTGCGTAAAGTGCTGTGTATGTCTTTTAGGCCACAGCTGGCTCGGCAGATGAGTCTTTAAAAAACCCCTGGAAGCAGCATTTTTTGGAAAACTATTTCCTTTATCACCAAGATGCCCCAATATCGCAAGATGTGAATAAAATAACGTCAGACAAAATTTACAGACTATACGCAATAGCATTAAAAAAATATATTTTTATGTGCCTAAATAATAGTTGTGAAATGCACAGTCGTTATATAGAGTTTGCACTGTATATATATTTAGCTAAAATTCGATGGCGGACCTCTTGCGCTTCATACTTTTAACCATTGAACCACAGCGGCCGTGAATAATGTGATAAAATTATACAAAGTCAAGCCCAGAATGAACTAAGAACGAAATGTTTATCAAATTGTCTGAATAATGAAGTGAAGGTACCACGAGAAAATTAAATTAAAAGCACGGATCTCCCAAGTGGACTGCCCCGGGAAAACAATCTAGTAAATAATACGGTGAGTTGGCTCGGGGCTTAATTATTTAGTACCATTCTCGCTGATTACTCGAGTAAGCCCAGTTGTCAATACTGCGAAGAGTCCCGGATTGAAATTTTACAAAAATGCTTCGCTTGGACATGCAACTGTTAGCATTGTACGACTAATAAACAACAGGTCGTGGATTCGATCTCCCACTGGTTAAAGTCGAAAATCATTTATTCATGTTTTAGCTTGGTACACTTATGAACGTCAAAACAGGTTAAAAATGTAAAACTCTAAATTTACAGTTACTACCAGTTCCCAAGTTAGGGCGTAACCCGAACGAGAAGAACTGGCAAGAAACTCGCCGCCCCTTCTTTTAATTGCATTTTATTCCGTGATAGAACGGGTTCGTCCATACCCCAAGCATTTTTATCATTAAAATATTAATTTACATAATAATAACCCTTTCCAAGCAGTTTTTGTTTAACATACGATTTAAACTTATTGACAGTGTTTTTCTACACTAGGAATTTTAATAAAACACTCCGTCTGGAAATCTGGATATTGAATGGAATATTGGAAATTTGTTGGAATGTAATACTGGAATATTGTAATTCCGTCCAGGTCACGAAGCACCGTCCACATGATAAAGCCGTGAAGTGTTATCGCGTTACGGTTTCAGTCTGTGGTTTTCCGAATTCCAAATACGAAACGCGAAACGGGTCGACAGCGCATCGTTTCTGAGGTGTTATGTGGCTGGTTATTCACTTTTCTCCCGATGTGCCCTTTGCTTGTCTGACCTTCTCTGTTATTAAACAATATGTCTATTTATACAACTCAACAAATAACTCGCAAACATTTCAATATAAATATTTTGACTTCTTTATTCGCCGATGATATTCCTTCGGCTCCGTGAAGCTAAGGAAAATACGGTTCTATTAAAATATGTAACATGCCGCCATTTGAATAGAGTACTACCAAGAGTTATTGAATATTCAACGTACTCAAGATGTGGCGTTTTCGACGTTTCGTCGTCTCTGCGAAATTTAAAATTAATACGATACACAATTAAATAAAACAACGATTTGAAACATGAAGTATATTAGTTAACTTATTTTTAGTTTATTTTAACTATGACGCAAAAATGAACATTTGTCACCGTTTTTTTTCGTCATTTTCTTTTCTGCTATTGGTCGCCCAGCTGCGACCAATAGCAGAAAAGTTATATAACCTAAAGTCTATTGCGAATCTGAAAAAAATTGAGGCAATTTTAATAAAAACTGAATAGTTTAAAAGCGAGTTATTTGGATTTTTTTAAACCAATATATGTCGCGTTTCAAACCGTTATTCGGTGTTGATTTAAATGTGTACTACTCGCGTAAACTACAGACAGTATTTAAATCATGCAATATATAGTGGTAATATTGAATAATATCTTCATGTAAGATTTAATATATAATTTCTTCCTCAGCCAGTCGCAGAGGAGCCATTCAGGTTCACCATGGAGCTGGACGACCTACCAAAGGAAACCCTCAAGAGCCTCATCTTTGAAGAGACCCTGCTCTTCTACCAGACACAAAACTCGTAAGCGAACCACTCCCCCCCCCCACAAGGCACGCTTTTATCTTTGCCGAAGTCTTTGCAATGACCGAGGTCTACTTTCGATTGGAATTTTTCGAAAGATACCAAACTAGCGATATTACTCGCCCGAAAATCTATTTTCATTATTTCCCTTTACAAACGTCTAATGAGATTATTACAGTAGGCAAGTGTGTCGAATCGCACGACACTTTTTGTCGTAAAATTAACCGTCAAATAAACTTGAAGACGTTTCTGCGTTTGTACTACTGTTTCACCCGTAAGATCGTAAACTAACGAGTGTACGCATTATAAAACACTTGGCAATGTAATGCAACATCGTGTTAGAGCTAAAAATTAATTTTAGCAATTTCAACCGTTAGTGGTGTCATTTTGCGGAGTATGACGTATAATAAAAATCTAACGAAGTAAGGAACGTGAGCCGCGCGCAGTTTTTTTTAATATCAGTTACCGTGTGTAGTTTACGAGAGTAGCACACATTTAAACAAAACGGTTTAAAACGCGAAATACATTACTTAATCTTATCTATAAATTATTATCTACTTTGACATTAGAGACAGTCTCGATCTTAATCTCCCCGTGATTATGGCTGCTGCAAACATCGGGAAGAAGTTTAAATAATTTGTAATTTCGCGTTTTAAACCGTTAAAGTGTTTCATTTAAATGTTTAATATCGTTAAACGAGCACAGTAAGATCTTTTGTCGTGGAATGTTAATGAGTTTTTGGGTGAAAAATGGCGCAGTCGCTCGTTAGATTTAGCTTCACGTGCGCGAAAACGTCGTCAAACTTATTTACGTGTACGTTTCGTTAGACGCGTTTTTATTGGCGTTTCAGTATTAAGCCCTGTTCTCGCTTATAGATACAGATGATTATTAATGTTGTATCAAATAGATTCCGAATAGAGGGTCTACCATCACTTTTTATATGTTCATGCGATAGCCTCTTTGGCTGTAACAATTTTAATGAAATCGACGTTATTAACATTTCTCTTCAATTGAAATGATACGATCTTTGTAAGTAAAATCGACTGGGAAAGTAGTGCGTTCAGTTTCATATAGATATTAAAACGTAGAGGTATATAGATAGGTACAATTCTGAAATTTATCAAAGTTAATACCTAGTCTTACTGTTTAGTGTTCTCAGTATTACATCGGGAATAGAAATGGCGGCGAGCGAGACATGTGTGGCTCTAGGTAGGTGTTAACCTCTTCGATGGGAAACAGTAAATAGTTTCGGTCGGGTAGGGCACAGAAGTTCAATTTGCGAAGAATACACGGACACAAGTGTGCCCCACTGTTGGGGATATGCACACTTCATGTACCGATTTGTGCTTGTTTTATGATACTTTGTCTTCCTGCTTTTCGAACGTTGCGCACAACACAACGTGAATTTAGGATATCGTTCATATCAATTTTGAAAAGTTGCGTGTGCGTCGTTACGAGGTTTTTCACGAGTGTTTCGGGATACGTCGAGCGACATTTACGTAGCTTACGAAACTCGAAGTAACTTGAAAGTTTATAAATTTCATTTACTAATTGTGCTATTAAATCATTACTTTCTGAAATTGATCTAAGATACTTCAGGACAAATGACCAACTTGTAAGTTAATCATAGATAAATATAGTATTGAAAAGCTGAAATAACATTCGGCTATGATGGAATAAATTAGTGTTTATTAGACGATTGACAACACTAACGATATAAAAGGCGACTGTATTTCTTAATAAAATAAAATAATTGGATTAAACCATTAGGTTTCAAAGTCGGAGATTAGATCGAAAATACTCAACCACTAATAAGGAATAAATGTAATGCGGATTTTTCATACTGTCGCTTGACGGATCTCTGTAATTTACAAGACGTGACTACTCTGTGCCCAGTGTGAAGTGGAGTGGTGGATACGCAAAGATTATACAAGTGGAGTCTGCATTATATGTAGGTTACACGAATACACATTTAAAGTAAAACACTTTTTAACGGTTTAAAACGCGAAAAGTACTTGGTTATTTACAATTTATTTTAACTGCGGCTCGACATTTCGGATGCTTTACAGCCGCCGTGGTCACGGGAGGATTGAAGATCGAAAGTCTCTCTAATGTCAAAATAAAATCTGCTACGCTACTAGCGCTATCTGTTTTGTCGTGGGTATTTGTAGAAACTAGCTGAGTCATTACAGAACTGACTCACGGTGTACTCTCGTTATGACGTTATGATTTGGGATCTACTGTTTTAATATAGAATCCCAAGTGTTTTATATCTTGAGACTGTCCTCCCTATTGAAGGAGTTAGCTAATTAATTTCGCGTTTTAAACCGTTAAAATTGTTTAATTTACAAGTCTCTATTATATTAACTTATTGAGGAACTTAGCCGATTGCATTTCATCGAAGCTACCGAACTAAAAATAGTTTAGGCGTTCGACATGAATTTGATATATACATCATACAAAACAGACGAAAAATAGATACAAAATCATTGCTTAAATTGTCGAAAAGTAGAGTAGCACAGCCTTTTTTATTAATATTAATAAAAAGCTATTTTGATTAAATTTAAGGCTTTCGCGGTCATTTAAATATAATTCTCGACGTTTTGCTAGTATGCATGCTAACGTCTGTTGAAAACCTTAAGTAGCATGTTTAATCTCAAAGTTGATTTATTAAGCGTTGCCCTAAAACATAAACGCCTAAAATAATCAGTACCTCCACTTGTATATAATCTCTTGTACACTTTTTGGATATCGCTAGTAAATATTAAGGAAAGTTATCTGTTGAAATAAGGGAGCATAAGATACTTTATTGTATAACGTTTTTGTCTCTTCCCAGCTGTGGGATTGAATGTTGTGATTCCAATTACGATGTTTATAGCTTTTGTCGGCGTCGCTCTGCAGCACATTATCGACTTAGTTACCGCTAGATTCCGTTTCACAAATGATTTGAACAACTTTTATATAGACTTTCAGTATTTTAAATTTAAGGCTGCAGATGGCGCTCTTGCATTACACGTGTTTGTGTCACTCGATACGTTGTTAAATGTGTTGTAAAATTTGTGAAAAACGACGCGTTTCAGCTTACATTTTGAAATTGTAATGTACATCCCGAACCCCGGTTGACATCTTTAAAAGACAATTTTGTGGCATATTAGTAATCGTGTTATAAATATTACGCGGTTGTCTCTTCTAATTCTTGACTGCTGTCGATTTCGACTTGTTAAATATTTGTATCGTAATTTAAATTATTTTTCGAAATGAAAAAAAGTTTTAGGATAATTATTATTAGACGAAATAAGAATTTCTCCCCCATAGTCACTCCCAGTACGTGAATAATCTAGAAACGGTATAAGATGACTACAGATTCACGTATGTATTGTTAAAATATGAGTGTTGCCATATTTTCTTAAGTCATTATGTACAAATTGGATATTGTAAGATCATTTGTTATCTGTCAACAGTTGAATTGAATATTATGAAAATAAAATTTAAACGAACTTGGTGTTTTTATTTTACCTATCCTAATTAAAAATTAAAGTTATTAATAACCACTTTTATATAGGCAAATGAACTTCAATAACATAATTTAAAGTAATACTTAACTCACTTTCACCGACACAGGTCAATAGGTTTAAAAATTGATGTTTACTATCATTTGTCCTTGTTCTTTTTAGGGAATCGTGTGAAAGAGATAACGCTCTATTAACTCGTTCCGGTGATTGAGGATAAGTCAAAACTTGTTCAATAATAAGTTATATCATTTAATTGATTATAAACTAAATAAAGCAGAACTAATCTATAAGTACTTACATTTAAACTTGATATTATTTCGACACATATACATACGAAGATTGAAGTAGAATGACATTGTAGTTTTATTCGCAAATTTTAACGTAAAAAAAGCAACGCAATAGAGGCGGAATTTCATTTAATTCCTGTGCTCTGCAGAAATTCTCTCTTAAAATGGGACTATGTTTTTAGTTTACCGCCGTAATTACATTTTATGCACTTTAGCTGCAACATTACACGGTGTTCCGAGCGCCGCTGCAAAAAGCAATATTAATTTCACACTCACTCAGGCAGCAGCGCTAATTAACTGCTGTGAGAGAAAACAGGAAACGACATGAAGGCAAGCAAAAACTGACACGTCCGAAATACGCTTTGCCATATTTTAACATTTCAGTACCTAAAGACTGACTTACGCGAGTAGTACACATTTAAATAAAACATTTTAACGGTTTAAAACGGGATATAATTTAGTTAAACTTATTTGGAAATTCTTTTAACAGCAGCCGAAACGCCGGGTCGTAGTTAAAATAAGTTTAACTAATATATATCGTGTTTTAAACCGTTAAAATGTTTAATTTAAATGTTTTCTATCTTGCAGTTTAATTCAGAAAAAGAAGGACCAAAGTATTATCATTAGTCCATATCCATTTTCATACTAAGCTGCTACGATGTGTTTTTGCGACCTAGAACCACACAATCTGAGACCTACTTAGACCGATCATTAATCTTTCATTCTTCATCAGGTTTCAGACGGATGGGGGCATCCCCTCAATTTATCACCTGCCCCTAGATTGAAATGTGAACATACTACACATATTATGTTCGTAATGTAAAGGGATTTATACTGCATAATAGGTTCGAATCCTAGCTAAAAAAAATATTTTCGATCGGGCAGGGCAAACAAGTGTCTCATCAACTACTTGCCTGTAAAAGAAACGATCAGTGAAACGGACATAGAGATGTGTTTGCCCAGCCCCCAGGGGGAGGGGGGGGGGTTAGAATAACCGTTTTAGGTTGGCATTTACAATGATTAATAATTTATTTCTACTGCATATCCTTTCACACACACATATATATATATATATATATATATATATATATATATATATATATATACTAGATGATCCCGCAAACGTTGTTTTGCCATAGAAATAATTTCATCTATTGAATTGTAGCTTATATGACACGTTTGTCGGTTTACCATAGCAGTGCCAT